CCGGCAGGTCGATCCCCGTTGCGTAGCGGCAAACACTAGTCGGAGCGGCAAAACATTCGCAAAACAAAAGATAATACATGCAAAATGATGAAAAATATCTAACACTTAATAGATAAAGTAGAGAGAAAAGGGAGTAATCCTATGGTACTCCATTCTTATTCTTTGTTGTCCATCTCTATCTATCAATGTTTGTTCATTAACCCTTGTGGTAAGATCTTCTTGGCAAACTATTCAGATAAAAGAATCTCCTAAATTTGGACGTACGTACCCTCTACATTTTTTAAGACAAAGCAGTTTACCATTATTCTGTCAATAATGCATTAATGTTTCTGAGGGAACGGGCCACTATAATCACATTTGGTTAACTTGTTGTTATGAAAAATATATGCAGATGGTCGATGCTTGGGGAGGATGGAGTCAATTCCAAGTTTTGCTTCAGACCCTGAAGAAAGTTGCTTCTAAACACGGCATCTCCATTCCAACATTTGCTGTGAAATACATCCTTGATCAGGTACCAAAATTTCCCTTGGTCTTCATGAAATGAAAAGGTGATATCTTAGCATTAGCTATATTTATCATCACGGATTAATTTTGCTCTGCTACTTGCAATATTGCAGCCGGCAGTGGCAGGTTCGATGGTAGGTGTTAGGCGTGGTCTGTCGGAACACATTAAGGCCACAAATGCTGTGTTTTCTCTTGTTCTTGATGAAGAAGATGTCAGCAGCATACAAGAACTTTCCAAGAGGGGATATATAGGTATGTACAACTGAATTAAACTCGAGACCTGAAATTGGAGATTGAGGACGGTACTTTCAGCTGATATTAGCAATCGGCAGCAGCCCTAACAAGAATAGTCTGAATGAATCTTTCTATGTCAACGAAAACTTTGACATGTTACTTGCTTTGATCTATCTTAATTTGCGAAGTGGCAAGTAGATTCGAAAAGAATTGTGTCAATAATGTAATGATGAGCCTCGGCGAAAGTTAATTTATGGAGAGAAGGATGAAAGAGAAAATTATACAATATAATTTAAACGCTAAAAAAGGAAGATGAAAACGGTATTTAAATACAGTCAATATTTAATACAGTCAAATGATCTTGTGAAACTATGAAATGGTTAATATTTAAATTATGAAAAGATGTGTCTATAGTACAAAAGACTCCAGGAACAGTATCAGATTCATCTCTGTAATAAATAAGAAATAATGTAATTAACAAGATTGAACCATGTAATCAGCGCCTATATTCATCTCCACAGTCACCAATTACATATGGGTAATTGGCGGAAAACGTCCCTACCTATGACGGGTTGTGTGGAAAACGTCCCTACGTTTCATTTTTTGGTGCAGAACGTCCCTACCTATGCATTTTCTTGCGCAAAATGTCCTTTTCCCTATTTTTTAACTTAAAATGACCTATATACCCTTCAATTGAAATAAAAAGGAAATGGTTAATTTCACAAATGGTCACTGAAGTTACAGGAAAATTTCAAAATGGTCACTGAAGTTCCAAACTTGCATAAACGGTCACTCAACTTTCAGTCACTTTCAAAAATGGCCACTGATGTAAGTTTTGGACTTTTTTGTTCTAATTGAAACATAAATTAACAAATTGAGCCCACTTCAAAATTGGAGGAGCTGAATTGCAGTTTCCTTTGGATAAAACACCAAACCAAACCCTATCCCTTTCGTTCCAACTTCAAAAACCGACGATTTTTTAAAACAATTTGGGATTCATCGAGAGTTCATGGATGATCAAATTCAGTTGTTGACTCCAGAGATTATGCAATTTCAGCTTGAAGGGGAAGCTTCTTGGAGCTGGGATACATATAAGAAGAAAGGAAAATGGAAGCAGGATTCATGGCTAAGAACCCACAAATTTTTCTGTGTTTTTCTGCTTATGCTTTTTAGTTTTGGACTAGTTTCAGGCAAGAGGTGGGATGGGGTCGTTGTAACTAAAGCCGATTACCCAGCTCTCAGGACCGTAAAACAGGAATTTGTCGATTTGAGAGGGGTCTTGAGGAGCTGGAATGACAGTGGTATTCGGGCTTGTTTAGGTGGGTGGATTGGAATTAAGTGTGTCAATGGGCAGTTTATTGCTATCCAGCTCCCATGGAATGATTATTCCCAGTCTTGCAAATTCCACTAGGTTATTTAGACTCAATCTGAGCTTCAATTCTATTTCAGGACCTATCCCTTTAAGCCTTTCCCAGTCTTCCTCTCTTATTTTTCTTGCTCTTCAACCCAATAATCTTTCTGGCTCAA